GGTAACAGGTCTGAAACAGAACAGAGGAATGACTTACTCACACAACACATGAAGTATAGTGCTTATTGCCAGAAAAAGCGGTAGATGCAAAAACCATACATGGGCTCAAAAGTTTTTAAAAATTAAGTACATCCATGGAATAAAAATCCATACAAAACATCATCCCCACTGAGAGACTGGGAGAGCTGACCTAACAAGTAACCCTATATGCTTGCCTAGAAAAGAGTATAAGAATAAAGCACCTGCTGTCAAATACTGCTTAGCTGTGGGAGACAGGCAGGACTCGAAACAATGGTCCTGTCGCATATCACGATTCTAGAGCTTTAGGCTTCAACACAGAACAGCAGATTAGCCCAGCATGGCTATTCATGTGAAGAATGGTCTTCGGGTTACCAAAAAAGACGAGCAACCCAGAAAGAAACTAAGGCTATTGGCTCCAGCACCTCACTTCTCCAAAGGAGAGGCAAAACAGTGGCTTGCGATTGGGGTGCTATCCATAAAATATTTAGCTCTCTAATCCTGCCTAAGAAGGTAATTTGCCTCCCCACCTTTCACAGCATTTTTTTAAAAATATCCAAATTACAATAATGATGGAAAAGATCTTTCTTTAGTCTACCTTGGTTAATTAAAGCAGGATTAATTATTTTATTCAAGTGACAAAAGGCTTCCAATGACTTATAAATAACTACTAACACAAAGCCAGAGAAAGTAACACGAAATTTCAGGAAACAGAAATGCAGTATTTAAGTACTTCAAATACCTATTAAGATAGTGACTTCCCCCCACTCCCCCCTCAAAAAACCAAAAACAACCCACAACCCTTTTTTATCATCTCAAAAATGAAAATACTCAGGTCACTGTCCGTTGCAGAGCCCTCTACTCCAGAAAGCAATCATGAAGAGCATACCACTGAACACAGTTCAGTGCTAGAGAGAATACTATATGCACACGCAGAGAGCAGTATCCATAACGTATCCCACAATCTGTTAACCCAGAATGCATATCAACACAGATTTCTGGAAACCTGCGCTTTTGAAAGCTATTCAAGAAAACCCTACCACCTTCCTCTAACCTAGGAACATAAGCAAGGATCCCAGCAATTCATAACTAGCACGGCTGGACACACGCTAATATAACTGTATCATAGAACACTTAATCTTTTCAGTAATTATCACCACCATGAATAGTACAAAAAAAGTGCAACTGAATAAACCACCAAGTACTGATTATTTGTACATGGACTCCCAATGACCTTCCCTTTCTAAAGGACATCCAGCATTTTTCAGATAGATGAAAATTTCTTTTCTTTATGTTAGTTCCTTGTGCATGTTACTCATTTCTTCAGACTGACACTGTAATTACAGAGAAGTTTCCTTCTCAAAAACAGGATGTAGCAAGACTAAGCCCCCTTGAAATTATACAGACTCATTTATTTGGTGAAACTACAGCTTCAAAAAACTTCCTATATTCTCAAAACATCACATTCCTCAAATCTGCAGTCTAAAGAAAGAATACGGTCCATGCTGAAAGAAAAGGAAATTTAGGAAACAAAACATTAAGCAACCTCATGGTAGAGCGAATCTATCAATTGCATACAGTTTTCCCATCAAGAGTTTTTATGTACTTGGGTAGTGGGAAACAGCTACCCAAAACCCTGTCAAACCTTGAAAGCGATAGCGTATTTGAAGATTAACCTTGCCAGGCACACTCCTCTGCCAGAACTCTGTTCAATCGCAATAGGTCATACAAAGTCAGAATTCTAACTATGATCAGAACTGAACATTCATGATAATAGACCCAGCAATACCAGTAAAGTATGGCTTCATGCATAAATAATCAAGTCATGCTTCCAAGAACCATGAAGAAAACAAAACAAACAAAATAAAACATAAATAAAACCAGGACTTTGTATTTTTCCTCCAAAAAAATAAAACCAAGGTGTCTGGTATCTAACATGCCTAGAGATCACTGAAATTTTTTTCTGAGGAAAATATCAACATTCTTCAGCAATGCCAGACTTTGAACACGTACCCATTAACTTCCAGCCACAGTAAGAAACAAGAAATACTTCACAGGTATCTGACAGAACTTCTTTCTCTCTTGGCAGAGATTTAGGTACCTCACAAATAAAGAGTCCTACTGCAATTCCACTCCACACACATTACAGAAAAACAAATGTGTCTCCCCTCACCCTGACACTGCATTCACAGAGAAGAGACTGCTCTGAATCCTGCAGACTTCACCTCACAGTGAAAAACATTCAGAGCTGAAACCAGACAGAAGCAGTCTGAATTAAACAGATGGCACTCTATTTAGAACAGTTTTACTTTAATAACATGCTAATGGCATTCCTCCTGGAACTCTTCTCACAGGCTCCCAAAATCTCTGTTAAAAAACCTGAAATACAGAAGCAGTTTTCATGAGGATATTAATAAAAAAGAAAAAAAGGCACTACAGTCTGTCCTAAAATTCTGCCAGCATAACGGTATAAACCGGTGTTTATTCTCATTCTCATAAAAGCATCAGAAATTAATATAACAGAGTTTGGATTCTGTTATAAAGAAATAGCTTTGGTATACCATCCACAACTAAGGAATAATTTAAGCCTTTATAAGCCACTGACTGAGTAGTTAATTTTTACCAGTTTCTTTTCAGATGAAGCAGACTATGCAGTCAACCTTAAGGAACATAAAACATAATTTAATTATGCAGATACTAACGCAATTGACACTTCATAATTACATAGCCACGGCATGCAAACGGCCGAGCTCCCCTGAGACAGGTACTCAACGGAACCAAACAACCACCTCGCTCAGGAAGCGGCTGTCAAGAGAGTTCCTAACTTCCACTTACCTCCCAGTGCTGTTCCAGGATTTCAGGAAGTCTTCCCGCTTCTCCTACAGAAACAAACA